TGTGGCCCACAGAGCGGGTTCCCCACAGGGACAGGCACGTGAGCCCGGCCCGGTGACTCACGGGAGCCAGAGCAGCCAGGCAGCCGCGCACCAGCTGCAGAGTTCAGGACCCAGGTCTCGCTGGCCCTCCCAGGGGACGAGAACCCGGGTCTCGCTGTCGTGCCAGGGGCCGAGAACTCTGCGGGTCTGAGCTGAGGTGACAGGAGGCTCTGCTCCCAGCCCCGGTGCCCCCGCTCCTGGGAAGCCACGGCCCTGCTGACCCTGCACCTGCAGCTTCACTGGCCTGGAAGGGGCCCCAGCCGTCGCCCACTTGGTGTGGGGTCATGACCCCTGTCCCACGCGTGCTTCCTGTGTGTCTGCGTCAAGGGCCAAGGGTGATGTTTTTATCCGTGTTGTGATTAGAGAGGGAGGGAAGCCGCTCTGGGTGTGAGCAAGGGAGTGGTCCTCATTCCCGTGTGTCCCGCCCACTCCCCCAGCCCCGTGGACAGCCACTGTCCCCTGCGCTCAGGACCTGCGCCCCAGGCTGCGGGGACAGCCCTTGTGCCAGGAACACACAGGCAGGCGTGTGAACACAGCACTCCTCATGTGTACCCGTGTGCACATGTGTGCATGTCTGTGTGTGCATATGTGTGCATGTGTGTGGGTGTGTACACACGTGTGTGCCTGTGTGTGCATGTGCGTCTCCCCCGCCCCGCCGTCCTGTACCGCCAGGCCGCTGTCCCTGTGACCTTCCTCAGCAGCCTCTGTGACTCCCACACCACTCAAGCCAACTCCTGGCGTCCCTGTTTGTCGTCCGTCCCCCCCACTACCTTGGCAGCCCCAGGAGGGCTCCCCTGGCCCCAGGCCACCCTGGCCCCGGGCAGACGAGGGAGGGCCAGGGCAGGCCAGTGCTGCTTCCCACCCCCACCCGTGGCCCCTGGCCTCCACACGTGGGGGTCGCTGTCCTGCGTGTGCAGGAGCTGCCCGGCCGCCCTCTCGGGGCCACGCATCCTGTCCTCCCAGCCGTGTGTCCAGCAGGGCTCCCTGTGCGCTCCGGGAAGAGGAAACCATGAGTCCCAGGTGGATGAAGCCAGAGCAGGCAGGAAACGCACTGCTCGGGTCTGGACACCTGCGGGGGCACCCCCTCCTCCCCGCCCCCGCCCCCGCCCCCGCCCCACGCCACGTGCTGCAGCGAGGGTGAGGGCGAGGCGGCGTGGCCCCAGGACGGAGCAGTGGCCCTACTTTAGCTGTGCCTGACGTACAAGATGCTACCGAGAGGGAGGCTGGCGGCTCTAACACAGGCCGCGAGAGGCGGTTCTTGTGTTTGCAGGGCTCAGCCCCGCCCGGCTCCCCTGAGTCCGGCTGTCAACGCCAGCACCTTCCACATGCCGCGGATACACGGTGTAAAGCAGCGGAACAGAGCGCCCGAGGACACGGAGCCAGGCCCTGCACGTGGACACGGTGGGCCCGGGAGGCCACAGGCCACGCCCTCTGTCCATGTAGCAGCAAGGGGGCAGAGGAGCAGCCAGGCACCGGTGACCCTCGGCACCAGGCCAGGCCCCTGGCTGGAGGGAAAGTGACCAGGAAGCTGTGCCATGGGCACCCCCCACCGGAGGGTGGCCCCAGGGTGCTGTCTGCTGGAACTTGCTCCACTGACCCATCCCAAAGACAGAGACCGAGCCTCCCAAGTGGTCGTCCAGGGTGGCTCATTCTGCACAGGTGCGGTGCAGTGGATGACCTTGTGCGACCTTCGCCAAGGGCCCCTGCCACCCCCACTCTGTCTCACAGGTATCCACGCACACGGCCAGCGTGTGGGTGTCGGGGCCCAGTGCCACCTCCCCCCATACAGACCCCCATTCTTCAGAGTTAAGTCCCTGCGCCGGGACAGCCGCTGTGGGCCGGGGCCCGGCCTCAGCCTCAGGGGTCCTCACTGGCATGGACGAGGCTGCTGTGTACCCTCCCACAGAGGGCACACACCCTCCCATGGGGCACGCAGGCCGGCCCGGGACACGGAGGACGAGCTGAGGTTGTCCCGGCGTAGGGACAGCAGGTGTCCACCTGCCCAGCTGCCAGGCCATGTCCTCGGCACTGATGGCCGTGCAGAGCTGCAGCCGCCACGGGCCGGGGCCGGGGCCTGGGCGGCCTCAGCTGCGGGTGTTCAATCCACCGTCTTCCCTGCCAGGCTTCCTGCCTCCGTCGGATTTGTTCAAAATTAGTGGAAGTAATTAGCCATCCGCGGAGTGCCGGGGCAGCAGGCACAGGCCGCAGGACTCGGCAGAGACTGGGACAGGCACTGCCGCCACCCCATGCCGAGTCCCTCTGACCTCAGGGACGACTCTCCTGCACCGGCTGTCCCGGCACTTGTCCCTGGACCACTGGTGACCGTTGGTGGCCGGTGACAGCCCCGTGTTCCTGCTATGTCCTGGCCATGCGGGCTCAGGACCCGGGATGAAGGCCCCTCTAGGGCCACTTTCCAGACCTCGGGGGTGAGGGGTCGGGTGGGGGGGCCCAGGCGTGGCTCCGGGTGCTGGGCTGCGTCATGTGCCAGCGTCCTCGTGTCAGACAGAGACAGGAAACGCATTGATTCCTGGAATTCTGTGGCTGGCTGCACGAGCGCCTGTCGGGAGAGGGTCTCATGTGAGCCTCGGCCCCTCGTCTCCCAGGGGCTCTGAGCCCTGGCTTGGGAGGCCCTGCCCTTCCTTCCCCGCTGGCCACCGTCACCGGCAGAGCCGCTGTCCCCACGGGGCTGCCCAGCTGAGGGGCTTGTTCTCGCAGCTGCCGGGCATCAGTGGCATCTCAAAGACATGACTGACCCCAGGGCAGCACCTGCCCTCCCACGTCCACCCACGCCTGACCCAGGGCAGCGCCTGCCCTCCCACGTCCACCCACGCCTGACCCCAGGGCAACACCTGCCCTCCCACGTCCACCCACGCCTGACCCCAGGGCAGCGCCTGCCCTCCCACGTCCACCCACACCTGACCCCAGAACAACATCTGCCCTCCCACGTCCACCCACGCCTGACCCCAGGGCAGCGCCTGCCCTCCCACGTCCACCCACGCCTGACCCCAGGGCAGCGCCTGCCCTCCCACGTCCACCCACGCCTGACCCCAGAGCAACATCTGCCCTCCCACGTCCACCCACGCCTGACCCCAGAGCAACATCTGCCCTCCCACGTCCACCCACGCCTGACCCCAGAACAACACCTGCCCTCCCACGTCCACCCACGCCTGACCCCAGGGCAGCGCCTGCCCTCCCACGTCCACCCACGCCTGACCCCAGGGCAGCGCCTGCCCTCCCACGTCCACCCACACCTGACCCCAGAACAACATCTGCCCTCCCACGTCCACCCACGCCTGACCCCAGGGCAGCGCCTGCCCTCCCACGTCCACCCACGCCTGACCCCAGGGCAGCGCCTGCCCTCCCACGTCCACCCACGCCTGACCCCAGAGCAACATCTGCCCTCCCACGTCCACCCACGCCTGACCCCAGAGCAACATCTGCCCTCCCACGTCCACCCACGCCTGACCCCAGAACAACACCTGCCCTCCCACGTCCACCCACGCCTGACCCCAGGGCAGCGCCTGCCCTCCCACGTCCACCCACGCCTGACCCCAGGGCAGCGCCTGCCCTCCCACGTCCACCCACGCCTGACCCCAGGGCAGCGCCTGCCCTCCCACGTCCACCCACGCCTGACCCCAGGGCAGCGCCTGCCCTCCCACGTCCACCCACGCCTGACCCCAGGGCAACACCTGCCCTCCCACGTCCACCCACGACTTTCATTAGAAACTTGCTCTTGGAGAACCACGGGACTCAGCGTGGATTCCGTTCTGACGTCTTGCGAGGCGGGGCTGCCGTTTTACCTGCGCCAGGGACGGCTCGGGGTCAGAGATGCCTGATCCGCTCAGTCTGCTGCTGATTTTCATTTGCTCACCCCTGGGGCGCACGGTGCCCTCAGAGCAGTTTGAGGTTTCCCGTGACGTGGGCAGGAGCAGGACCACGGCCCCTGGAGGGAGGAGGTCTCCTAGGAGCCGCAGCCCCGGCCTCGGCCGTCAGAACCCGCCTAGGGCAGTTCTGGAGTCAGCTCAGGGGCTCTCGGGCCGGCAGACGGGACCCCCGGCTTCATCCCACTGGAAACGCTTTCTCTGGAGCCCACACGGGGGCGGTAGCGGCAGTGGTAACGGGAGCCGGCACAGCGCAGCCTCCCAGCGGTGCAGGTGCACCTGCAGGTTGTCTCAGGGCTGCAGACAAGGACAGGGTGGGGGAGGGGTGGGAGGACACTGTATCCAGCGGCACCACGAGTAGCTTTGGTCATTTTTAAAGCAATAATTAAATCATGTAAGCTGTGACAGTGAAATCACTAGTAATTTGTCCCGCCATAATTGCTCAGATCCCCACATTCTTTCAAGGCGAGATGATGTCACCGTGGCTTCTGCCTGCATTCCAGAAGGTGGCCTGGCTGTTGGCTGTTGTAGTTCACCAAGGCATCAGGTGGTGGACACGTGTGTCAGAAATGACTGATGTGGCCCAAAGTGCCCGCGGCTCTGGGGACGTCTCTCCCAGCGGGGCCGTTACAAATGGCTGTGGCGGCGGAGCCCTCGGGAGGGGCCGGGACTCCGTTGTCTCGGGAGCTGAGCAGTGCGTGGTCGCCGGCAGCCGCCGCCTCGGCTGTGCCCAAGTGAGCGAGGGCACTGGGGCGCCACACGCCCGCCCAGCGCACGGGGCACCGGGCCTTGCCCAGCTCTGCTCCCCGATCTGCAGCCTCTGGGGGCCTCTGAACCCTCTTCCTTCTCTGGGCTTAGCAGGGCCGAGACACAGCGGCACCGGCTGGCGGGCGCGGCGAGGGTTTCTCGGCGCCCTGGGCTGGAGGAGGGGTGTGTTCATGGAGGTGGAGGGCAGCTGTGTGCGGGCGAGGGGAAGGGGCTCCTGCGCCACCTCGCACCTCTGCTGCGGCCTCGGGCTCCCTCCCTAAGGGGCGGAGATAGAACACGAGGCTTTCTCAGAGGCGGGGATCGGGAGGCGCCATGCTCACGTTACACGCGTGTCTGGCTGCCGGCCGGGCCTCACTGCCTTCCTCTCCTCTTGCAGTCAAGTTCAGCAGCTGCCTGGGGACCAGGAGGACGCAGTATGAGACCAACAGCGTGGACTTCAAGGTCGGGGCGGACGGGACCGTCTTCGCCACCCGGGAGCTGCGAATCCCGTCCGAGCAGGTGGCCTTCACGGTGACGGCGTGGGACGGGCAGACCGCCGAGCGCTGGGACGCCGTGGTGCGGCTGCTGGTGGCCCAGACCTCGTCCCCGCACTCCGGACACAAGGTAGGGTGGGACCGCCTGGCTGAGACGCTCACCTCCCCCGAGGTCCCTGGGGCGGAAGCTTGCCCAGGGTTCCCTACGGGTGGAGGGCAGCGGCTGGGGGCTGTGTCCCTCGGGCACCCCTGACCTTCCCACCGTCCACCCTGAGGCCGAGCCCCCACCACGAGCAGCTGAGCCGGGCAGGTGCACAGAGTCCCACGCTCAGTTCCGGGCCCTGGGCCCTGACGTTCTTAGCTTCTGAACAAAGACCCTGCGGGCTCGTCCTGCGAGGCGCCCCCCATCGGGGAGAGTGGGGCGAGGGCGTTCTTCCACGAGACGCCCTGGAGCCAAGGCTCGGTGAACGTGTCTGCTTTGTTCACGGCCACGTACACTTTAAGGGCAGGCAGAGGGACGTAACTAATCAGGGCAATGCTGATGCTACAGGAGGAAGCGATACTGACGCCGCTAGACTTCTCCATCAGCTTGAAGGCCGCGTAGCTGCCGTAGCTTTCCAGGTGGACCTGATGGCGGGGGTGGCGGGAATGTGCCGGGGCTCCCGCCGCCTGCGCGCGGCCAGGCTGCGTGGTCCCTCTCCACCTCCTGCATGGGCAGGACAGGCAGCCCCACGGGGTCACCCGCAAGACCCCACATTTCTACCCGGAACACCACACACTGCGTATCTTCACCTGTCTGGGGGATGAGGAGCAGCACAGCCCCGTGGCTGGGCCTGAGCCAACCAGAGCACCGGGTGCACGGCTGACTCGGCAGCGACAGGGCGGGGGAGGGGGAGCTCCCCAGGCTGTAAACCAGCGAGGACCCCCAGCCCCCGCCGCCTGGCCCCGCTGCGTCTCCCCAGAGGCGGGGCCCACGTGGTGGATGGGGAGGCCAGCTTCACCGGCCCCGGCACTGTGCTCCCTGCAGCCTGTGTCTCCCCCAGATCCCACACGCAAGCACTGCCCGTGCAGTGGGAAGCCAGCAGGGTCCACTGTCGCCCTCGGCCCTCCCTGGAGCTGGGGCGGGGGTGGGCATTGGCCGTGGGCCGCGGGACCCTGGGCCAGCGGAGGAGCTGCCCCCGGGTGGGCCTGGGGAGGTCACCGAGAGCACAGGTACCAGGCCCTGCCCCCCGAGCCCCCCCCCCCGTGGGGTCAGACGCCCCAGGCGCGCGCCGCTGGGGTACTTGGCGATGTCGTGGGCACCGTGGACGCAGAGCATGGCAGCGTCTGGATGCTTCTGTGCGGAGCAAAGGGCGGAACAGAGTGGACACCTTGACGCAGCCTGGCCACGAACCTCACAGGGCCGGGTGTGTAGCAGAGAGCCTGCAAGCTGCCCCAGGCCTGTCTGACTGAGGAACCCTGCTTCCTGGAGCAGCTCGGAAGGCAGGTGTGGCAAGGAACCCACTTTGGGAAAGTTTCCTGTTGCCTGGGGCGTCCCCCCTGTCCAGGGAAGAGGGACCTCGCCGGGGCCTGGGTGTGCTGAGCCAGGCCTCGGCAGGTGTGTAACAGATGGTGAGCCCTGCCCGGGACACTGGCAGTGTCGCTGCCCGCCTCCTCCCGAGCCGTTCTGGCCAGCGTGCCCTGGTGAGAGGACAGGGCACCGTGCAGGCCCCCTGGCAGCCCTGGGTTCCCCTGGAGACGCCTGGGCCTCCACCCAGGGGCCCCGTCCCTCATGGGAGCCGTGTCCAGGGGCCGTGACAGGCTGCAGCCCTGGGGACGCCTGGGCCTCCACCCAGGGACCGTGCCAGGCTGCAGCCCTGGGGGCCCCGTCCCCCATGGGGGCCGTGTCCAGGGTCATGCCAGGCTGCAGCCCTGGGGGCCCCGTCCCTCATGGGGGCCGTGTCCGGGGGCTGGGCCAGGCTGCAGCCCTGGGGGCCCCGTCCCTCATGGGAGCCGTGTCCGGGGGCCGGGCCAGGCTGCAGCCCTGGGGGCCCCGTCCCTCATGGGGGCCATGTCCGGGGGCCGGGCCAGGCTGCAGCCCTGGGGGCCCCGTCCCTCATGGGGGCCATGTCCGGGGGCCGGGCCAGGCTGCAGCCCTGGGGGTCCCGTCCCTCATGGCAGCCGTGTCCAGGGGCCGGGCCAGGCTGCAGCCCTGAGGGCCCCGTCCCTCATGGGGGCCGTGTCCGGGGCCGTGTCCGGGGCCGGGCCAGGCTCCTGAAGGGCCAGGCCCCATGAACGCAGCCGTCCGCGCCTCCCTGATGGTGACGCAGAAACGCGCCCGGTGAGCGGAGGGCGGAGCTCCTGAGCGCCCGTGGACGGCCTCAGGTGAAGGCGCCAACCGCGCATGCGCCGTGCAGCGATTTCCGATGCGGTTACGCCCTTGCTCTCGTGTGGGAGGTGCCCACGCTGGCGGGGTTGCACCCCGACGTCTCCACTGTGCGTGCCCCGCGCCCCGCAGGGACGGCCGGGGCCGTGACGCAGGTGCATGTGAGCTGGGCCCCGAGGGACTGCACGCTTGAGCCTGCGCTGTGGCCGCTGTGGGCAGCTCCCCGCCGGCCCTCCTCCGCCTCGCCGCCCACCACTCTTGCTGCTGACCGGCGCCTTCAACGAGGTCCGAGGACCCCCCAGACCCCGCCTCCGACAGCGCTGGCTCACCCCCCTCAGCACGTCCCTGGAACAGCATCATCCCTTCCCACGTCACGCGTGGGACCACGGTGCTCTCGTTGTGTGCGGGAACTGAGGTTTCGGAAGGGAGCGGAAGTGGCTTTCTAGACGCGTCTGGGGCCAACCTGGCCCGGGAGCCCGGCACCCCAGGTGTGGGTTCAAACCAGGCTCCCAGCTGCCGGTGAGTGGGAGCAGCCCACGGTCCCGAGGGAACCCTCAGAGGGCAGCCGCCCGGGCAGGGCTGGCGGTGCCCCCTGCGTGGGGAGTTCGCGCGAGGTAGGAGAGGTAGCTCTTACCGCCGTCATGGGCACAGCCCCAGCCCTCACCCTGTCACAGCCGCTGCACCCCCACCAGCGCAGGACCGGGGGGCTGGGGGCGGGGTCTGTTTGGGACTCAGAAGCTGGTTGAGGGGGCCGGCGCTGGGGCACAGCGGGTAAAGCCGCAGCCTGCAGTGCTGGCCTCCCACATGGGTGCAGGTTCGAGTCCCGGCTGCTCCACATCTGATCCAGCTCCCTGCTAATGCACCTGGGAAAGCAGCAGAGGACGGCCCAAGTCCCAGGGCCCTGCACCCGTGTGGGAGACCTGGAAGAAGCTCCCGGCTCCTGGCTTCATATGGGCCCAGCCCCGGCCATTGCAGCCATTTGGGGAGTGAACCAGCGGATGGAAAACCTCTGTCTCTAACCCTGCCAAATATATACACATATATGTACACATACATATCCACATACATACACATATACACATACATACACATATATTATACACACACACACAGGAGAAGCTGACTGTGGGCCACTTAGCAGCTTGCAGACGGGGGCCGGCCATCAGACACTGCCCCTGGCTGTCCACAGGCTAAGCTGACGCCAGGCTTCCGCTGGCCCCGCCTTCCGGAGCAGGAGGCCACGCCCCGGCAGGAGGCCACGCCCCGGCAGGAGACCACGCCCCTGCAGGAGGCCACGCGGGCCTCTGTCTTCTGTTTGCACAAGGTCTCGCGCTCACTGGAAGGCGAGAGTGCGGTGAGCGGGAGACCACCACGGTGGGAAAGACCCGCAGAGCTGCAGACGGCAGAGATCGCACACGTGTGCTTGCTGTGTTCGGGCAAGTTAAATGTAAGATTTGACAGAGAACTGGAAACTAAGAAAATGACCAGCTGATGGAACGAAGGTGGACCATCAGGAGCTCCGTGAACCTGCGATCAGCAGAAGCAGAAGCACAGCCCGTCACAGCAACGCCCGGGGGAGGGCGTGGGAGACAGGGAGGGAACACGGACGGGGGCAGGGAGCAGGGCTGACACATGTGGGGGGGAGCGAGTGGGTCTGACACGCGTTGGGGGGAGCAGGTGCGACACACATGTGAAGAGGGAGGAGCAGGTCTGACACATGGGGGGAGGGAGTGGGTCTGACACACGTGTGGGGGGAGCAGGTGTGACGTGGGGGGAGCAGGACTGACACATGTGTGATGAAGGGAGCAGGAAGTGGGTCTGACACACGTGTGAGGAGGAGGAGAGGGAGCAGAGCTGACACGCATGTGAAGAGGGGTAGCAGGTGTGACAAGCATGTGGGGAGCAGCAGGGAGCAGGTCTGACATGCGTGTGGGGAGCAGGGAGCAGGTCTGACACGTGTGTGAGGAGCAGGGAGCGGGTCTGACACACGTGTGAGGAGCAGGGAGCGGGTCTGACACGCGTGTGGGGAGCAGGGAGCGGGTCTGACACGCGTGTGGGGAGCAGCAGGGAGCGGGTCTGACACGCATGTGAGGAGCAAGAAGTGGGTCTGACACGCGTGTGAGGAGCAGGGAGTGGGTCTGACACGCGTGTGAGGGGCAGGAAGTGGGTCTGACACGCGTGTGAGGAGCAGGGAGCGGGTCTGACGCGTGTGAGGAGCAGGGAGCGGGTCTGACACGCGTGTGAGGAGCAGGGAGCGGGTCTGACACGCGTGTGAGGAGCAGGGAGTGGGTCTGACACGTGGGGGGGCAGGGAGCAGTTCTGACACGCGTGTGAGGAGCAGGGAGCGGGTCTGACACGCGTGTGGGGAGCAGGGAGCAGGTCTGACACGTGTGTGGGGAGCAGGAAGTGGGTCTGACACACATGTGAGGAGCAGGAAGTGGGTCTGACACGCGTGTGAGGAGCAGGGAGCGGGTCTGACACGCGTGTGAGGAGCAGGGAGTGGGTCTGACACGTGGGGGGGCAGGGAGCAGGTCTGACACGCGTGTGAGGAGCAGGGAGCGGGTCTGACACGTGGGGGGGCAGGGAGCAAGTCTGACACGTGTGTGGGGAGCAGGGAGTGGGTCTGACACGTGGGGGGGCAGGGAGCAGGTCTGACACGTGTGTGGGGAGCAGGGAGCGGGTCTGACACGTGTTGGGGGGCAGGGCAGTAATCTGTGAAGACACAGAAAGTCGTCTGAGCGGACGGCAGACGCGTAGACTCGGGA